CCGTTCAAAATTTAGTTTTGGTCACACTGGTCACACTAGTCACACTGGTCACCTGGGCACACTGGTCACACTGGTCACACCGAAAAATTTTAAAATTCACGCGAAAAATTTAACTTTTTGTGGCGGAGGGGGGTTTAAAAATTTTAAAATATTTAAATTTTTTCATAGGGAACCGAAAACTGTTTTCTCTCTCTTCTGTTTCTGTCATTGGGACCCACGCCAATGGGTATTATGGGAATAACATAATTATAAGGGTATGTTTTGAACTAATTTTTTTTTTTATTTTTGCAGGGGTATGCCTTGAAGTCTTTGTAGCATAATAGGGGTATTTTTGATAAAAGCCCATGTCGCACTAATAAGATTTTTTTTTTTTTAATTTTAAAAAATTGATAGAATGTGCCGCCTACATTACTATAACATTTTTTAATTAAAATGAGAAAAACATTTATTCTATTTTCGATCTCTCGATAAATTTAAATTATATAAATAAAAAATTATATGAATCTGAGATTTATATTTGTATGAGATTTATATGTCACATTTGTATTTTTTGTGCTATATTCTTTATTACTTTAGAAAAAAAGGTTAAGAAATTGTCTTCTTGAATCAATTATTTTATATAGATTTGGATTTCATGCATATTTTTCCCACTGAAAATTACAATACATGAATGATTGGAAGAAATGGAACTCAATCATAATAAAAGTATATTCGTTGTACTCATTGGAGCAATTCTTAGGTATACGAGTTCTTTTATTTCATATTGATTTATAATTTTATAAAAAAACTATTTTATTTAATTTTTTTTATCAGTTTCAATGTTATTACTTTTTATAATTTAAATAGATTTATTTATAAAAAGTTTATTTTAGATTCGTTTATATTTTTACTCCATTTGGATTATATTCAAATTTGATTAATTTTATTTAAATAAACTTAATTTGTATACACACACACATAAATATGAGTGCATACATATGTACATCGACTATGATATTTTATGCATAAATGACAAATTTAATGTAAACAATATTTAGAGGACAGTTCATAAGTGATTTCATTTTCTATCAAATTTTAAATAGGCTATGATGTTTTGCTAATATCTTGGTATCTTTCACCAAAAAAAAAATATCTTGGTATCTCGATATATATATATATATATATATATATATCTACCAAATAATTTAGACATAAACTAAATAAAACTATTTATTTGCTAAGAAAGATTGGATATCGTTGAGTTTATTATATATGGCGGAGAAGGGTCGGAGGTAGGCAAGGGACCAGTAGACCACGTGGGGAGCTCACAATTAAAGATATTGTCATATTATACTTGAAAAAAATGGAGAATCGTATATAGATAAAACAAAACATATATATATATATATATGTGAATGTATAAATGTATCTTTTTATTATAATAATAATAAACTCAAGAATAAAGACTAAAACGTATAAATTTAAATATAATCAGGACATTCAATAGAAATGAATATTATTAACGATTATATGTTAATATATGAAAATACTTAAAACATTTATACGTTTGGAATATAATTATAAGACCGATCACTTTTATATATCAATAAGAAAATAGTCAAGATGCTTATATGAAATTCTCCCAAGATAAAACTAAGAAAGTACAAGAAAAATAAAAACGTTTCAGAATCATATATATATATATATATTAAAGTGAAATAAAAGATGAACGGTGCTTTGGAATATTAAGCTCCTGCCTGAATTTTATCTTCATTAAGTTTTGCCTTCACGCAACCCACCAAAACATGTCAAACTTATGTTTGTGGCTTTAATATTCTTTTATTTAAATAACCGTATGGACCGACTCATATATTATATTATATCATATGCATGAATTGGTAATGAATATAGAATACAATATACACAATTGTCTTAATGGTTTTCATAATAAAAGCTGGTCATCCTCTTTCCACGCTACTTATAATCTCTATATTCATATTATATATATTATACACACAATTAATCAATTAAAAATAATCGTTGAACTTATAAATAATCACATCTAGTGATTATAATTATAATATATGTAAAGATAATTTATTCATGTGTATGAACACATAGAATTCCATGTTACAAAATACAAATAACAACGGATGGAAATTTAAACCCTTTTCTTGGAAAGTGCATGTCCTGATCCTAACTTTTGGTCCCCAATAATATTTTTATTTCTTAATTTTAGTTTGCATTTGTACTTTATTTTCATAAACACCCTTTTTGTTTTTCCTATGGTCAAAAGAGTCGTGGGCATTAATTGGGATCCTATTTTATTTTTATATTTAACTGAATATATATATTATATAGTCTATAAAATCCAACAGAGCATATCATATGAATATATTAATTAATATGCTATAGTTTGGTGGTCGTTTAATCGCAAAGGTCAATCTGATTCTTTACCTTAGATTATCATTTTCTAACAAATAGTTTATTTTAATGGCAATGGAATCGTTTGACAATCAATCTTAATTTGAATGTGTTGTATATTTTTCAGTTTTTACGGTATGCAAATAAATTCGCATTTTTAAATTAAAAAATAAATATATATCTATGAGGGGGCATATAAAGGATAATACAACTTGAAACTAATATACGAGAAATTAAAATATCTTTGAAAACCCCAAACTTTTTCACGACTTAAATTGACGTTCAACGACATTATTATATGCTAGAAAATATAAAAACGTATTAATTTCAAAATTTCAGAATTTTTTTTGCGTTTTCATATTTGTCAGGCTTTTAGTCAATTTGTATATCTATGGTTTTTTGTATGAATTTGTATATCTATGTTAATATTACAATAGCAAAACGTTTTTCTAATTGCAAAATTTATTTTCTAATCAAATGAAAATTAGATTAGTAATTAGAGCATAAAATGTTTTTATAAAGAGGAATGCATTTATTTTTTCCGTAATATATATTGATCAAATTAATAAATGAATATACAGTAATTATATTATTTTGCTCGTGGTAAGCCAACTGTTCTCACAAGTTCTCAACTCAAAATTTAAAGTGAAGTGACCGACTCGTGTCGGTGGGCCCACCGGATTTAGCCGGTGATCCCGTTCACGAAGACTAAATCTTAAGAGAGAAAAGAAAAGATATCAACGTGGCACAAAACTACAAATGACCAAACTCATTTCAAGGGACGTTTCTATTCTGACAGGTAATGACCACATCCAGTGTCACAGCTGAATAGTGGCGTTACACGTGTCGGCACAAAGGTCAGGTTACCCTCGTTGTTCGTAACTGGTCTGACTGGTAAGAGAAAACATTCGGTTAGAAAACGGTGAAGCTATCCTAACCGTCCGATGTTTCTTCTAAGGGTAATTCGGTAAATCACCGAACCTGATCGAACGGTTGTTAACTCTCTCGTTCTCTCCTTTATATATGTTTCGTCGCAATCATGTTCAATTTGCCATAAGAGAAAGCAATCTCGCTCTCTCCATATTTTCTCAGTAATCTTTAACTTCATCATGCGTTTCGTCCAAATCAGATTTCTTTATTGAGGAATAGTCGTTTCAATTTCATCATTTTCCGAGGAATTAGATTTGAGTTCTATTCACGAAATGGCATCTGGGTTCTCCGGAGGAGGTGGGCCGGAGTTTTTCGCCGGCGGCGGACGATCCATGAACTCTGGCAACAATAACAACAGCAACAATCCTCCGATACCTCATCCATCGTACAGGAACCAGCTCCCCGGGATTTTCTTCGACCAGATCGGAAACATGAATTCCGGCGGACATGGGTTAGCCGGGAAACGCACTCTGGCAGATTTTCAGGCGGCGCAATTCCAGAATCCGGCGGCTCTCAACGCGCTTCTTCTGCGCTCCGTCAAGCCCAGAACTTTCCAGAACCTTCCGTCGCCGATATCGCCTTTGCTCGATCTCACTGCGAATGATATCAATTTGTTGGGCGGTTCGTCATCGTCGACTCAGCGGTTTGGGTTACCGATCCTTCCGCATGTCAGATCGCATCATATGTCTCAGACGCCGCAACCTGGTTTGGGTCTTTGCGGCGTTGGGGCACGAATGGGATTCGGGTCGGGTAATAATACAGCGTTGCAGGGTGTTCCGTGTGTTGACTCAGTTCAGAACCGAGCTCAGCCGAGTCAAGATTCGGAGAAGATGATGAGCAGATTGAAAGAGCTCGAGAAACGGCTTTTGGACGATGACGGCGATGGACAAGGTGACGATGATGATGTCTCCGTTATTACCAATGCGAACAGCGAATGGTCGGAGACAATACAATGCCTGGTGAACCCGGTGATGAGCCCGAGCCCGACTCCGACTCCGACTCCGAACCCGGTTACGTCTTCTCCGAGCTGCTCGTCTTCATCGTCTTCATCTTCGCCGTCTGCAGCTTCGCCCATGTCGCTCTGCCCAAGACAAACAATAATGGAAATCGCGACGGCCATCTCCGAAGGGAAGACGGACATAGCGGCGGAGATCCTCGCTCGTGTGACTCAAACGCCGAATCCAAAGGCGAATTCCGAGCAGAAGGTCACGGCGTTCATGTTATCGGCGCTTAGATCGCGGCTCAACCCAGCGGGAAACCCTGCTCCGGCGTCGGAACTGTACGGAAATCAGCATCTGGGCTCGATCCAGTTGCTCTACGAGCTGTCTCCTTGTTTCAAGCTCGGTTTCATGGCCGCGAATCTCTCCATCCTCGAAGCAACGCTTGGCTCCGCCGACGCCGTTGGTAGCGACGGGCTCCTCCACGTTGTCGATTTCGACGTCGGACAAGGCGGACAGTACGTGAACCTCCTCCACGAGCTCTCCACGCGCCGGAACGGTAAGGTTCCTCTGGTGGTTAAGATCACGGCCGTGGTGGATAAAGGCGACGGCTCTGCTGTCTCAAGTGGCGGGGAAGAGAGGCTGAATTCCGTCGGAGATTTTCTGAGACAACTCGGTGAACGACTCGGTATCACCCTGAGGTTCAACGTGGTGTCGAGTGTGAGACTCGGCAATCTGAGTCGCGAGTCACTCGGGTGCGACCCGGACGAGCCACTCGCCGTGAACTTGGCCTTCAAGATCTTCCGAGTCCCC